ACTCCTCCTCTTCCTCATCCTCGTCACCACCCCTGCTCCACCGTTCCCCCTCTTCTCATTCCCCTCCCATTTCCCCCCGCCCCACCCCCCGCCATTTACAACTCCTCCATCCTCCCCCTCCTCCTCCTCCTCCTCCTCCTCCTCCTCCTGCCTCCTCCTTCTCCTCCTCCTCCTCCTCCTCCTCCTCCTCCTCCTCTTCCTCCTCCTCATCCTCCTCCTCCTCACGTCTCACTTGTTCTCCTCCTCCTCCTCCTTCTCCGCTCCCCCCTCCTCCTCATCCCCTTCCCCCTCCTCCTCCTCTTCATTCGACGGGAAGGTGTCCGTAACCAGTTCGGCTCGAGACCCAATGTTCTTCGGAACCAGAGTCTGGCCCAAGGACAGCGTTCAATCCCACGCAGCTTCAGGAACGCGCACCTCCCTGGAGTGAAGAGTCCCCATTAGCCCCCGCAGTGCCTTGGGGCTGCGCGACGGTCGCCGTCAGAGTCCGACCTTGGGACCCCGAGCGGGCGCGACGGCGACGGACGGCGCAAGCACGATGTTGCTAGGGCCGAAGCGTCCCCACTGGGGATGCAGCCGTTGCGGAGCGGCCAGCAATTGGGCGTGCAGGATACAATGCAGGTGCGGCGCTCGTGCAGCACAGCATGTCGTCCCCAAGGCGCGCCAAGAGGACAAGAAGGTCGCAGCAGCTGCGGCTCAGAGAGAGAGAGAGAGAGAGAAACAACAAAGGAGACGGAGAAAGGTACCCCTCCACATACCGACAAACTCAACTCGTCACAGCGGCCCCCTTTTGCTAAGGAGCACATGGACGTGGATAAAGAGGGACAAGGGCTCGGCTCTCGAAGCGCCACCATCTGCAGCTGACGCTGGGGCGGGGGTGGAACCCGAGGAGCACGGCGAGCAGAATGGCAACGCCGACAAAGGGGGGCCAAGCGCGCTGCTCTGCAGGCGAGGATCGTCCACCACGAGCAGTTCGACAACGGCTTCGGTCCTTTCGAGGAGGTGGAGGGTCACCAGCTCGCGAAGGCAAAGAAGCAGCTGGAGCCCCTTCGAGCCCGATTTCACGATCCAAGGCCGTCGGGTGCGGCGCACAGGATTGCGACCCAGAAGCTTGAGCGCTACCAGACCCAGTTCGACAGCTATCGTGCTGACGCCGCCGACAAGCGTGAGAATGTCAAAAAAACTGCAAGATGAGCCCGACACCAAGGAGTCTGCCACCGTCCAGAAGGAAGCCGAGATCGCCATGCCCACCACGAAGGTGCGCACCTGCGGGGGGGGCGCTGCAGAAGCAGCGTGGCGAGGCAGACGCCGCGGATGCTGAGGCGACGGCGGCGCTTGCGGTCTCGCCCACACATCCTGCAGGTCAGCACGCACGAGCTCGAGGAGGCCCCCGAAGTCTTTAGGTCTTCTACCAGCAGTTCACTGCCGACCCAGGGTTCGGCGCCCTCAAGCATATTCTGGCCAAGCACGCCACGTTTGCGACCGCCCCACAGGGGCAGGCCATCGGCAAACCAGCGGGCGCAGGCGAAATGGGCTTAGAGCTTGGGGAGAAGAACGACACGGTCAAGCGCGGCTCGGCTGCCCCGCTGTGCGTGGACAACGTTCGAGAGATTCTCGAGGAGTTCAAGAAGGCGGGCCCCGCCGCTGGCGAGTCCGAGGAGCAGGTGGACGCGCTGCCCGAGATGGTCGCGAAGCTGCACGAGTCGAAGCGCGGCAGGACTGCCGCCCCTGCGCAGCATGGTGCGGAGCGCTGAACGCCACTGGCCCTGCGTGAGCGGGCTGCGATCGCGCCGAGACGAGCTATAACATTTTGACGCACCAGCTCGCCCAGTGCAGTCGCACTTGCTCGAGACTTGCTACGCCAACCAAGGGGGGCCAACCCTGGCGCGACGGCATGCGAGGACGCGGGCGCAGGCGGCAGTGGCCCACAAGATTGGGCATCACGGGCATGAGGCAGAGGAGCTGCAGTCGTTGGCAGGCGCTCGCGGTGGGCAAATTCTTGATGTTCCTCGAGGCCCCACAGATGGCCATCTCCCCTCTGCTGGGATCGCAATGTTCGCGCGCGGTGCAGTCGGGCTGCGATGGCCATCAGGTCGCAGCCCATCTACGTTGCCCCAACATATGGGCGCAGCACGCCATCTTCGACCTGCCTGGCTGAGAGGCGCCGCAAGTTTCCAATGTCTATTTGCGCGCGCTGGCGGTCGCGACCGTCTGCAATGCCAAGGCATTGTGCTCAGTGGGTGAGGCCATGCCAGGCATCGCGGAGCTGCGCATCATCGGGGGTGACTGGAACATGACTCCCAGCGGGGTGGTCGAGCCCACGTTCACGGCCGTCGCCCAGGCGAGCGCGGTCGCGCCCGCCGCTGTCGCGCGCCGCGCTGCGAGACCGCGCGCGACCATTGATTTCCTCGCGCTGAGTTCTGCAGCCGCGAGGTCTTTCAAGCAGGTGCCGGCTGACGTGGCTTGGTCGATCAAGCCTCGCCACCCCGCGCAGTTCTCGTCGGCGGCAGACGGGCGGCCTTCGCGGCGTCTCGCCTACGGTCGGGCCCCCAGATACCAGGAGTCTAAGTTCATGGGCCACGCGTCGTGGATGGATCGCCGGGCGTCGAAGCCGCCCGCGCCGAGCACGCCGCTCAGCTCGCCGAGTTTAAGCGCGCTGATAGCGCGCGGGGTTCCTGGTCCACAGCGTTGGCGCCCCTCGTGGTCAGCGCGGCGAAGAGGTCGGCGATGGCCACGGGCACGGAGGTGAAGGACATCAACTTGAGCGCCAGGTGGCCTACTCCCATGCGGGCGGAAGTGAGATGCGAGGCCATGGGCCCTGGAGGGCACCCAGGCGCGGGCCGAGGGCTGGCGCTGGCCGCGCAGCGCTCTCACCCACAACGCCTGGCCCGGCGAGTGTTCCCGAGCGGCGGGGTTTGCGAAGCTTGCGGTGGAGATCGGGTCCATCCAGGCGCCGGCGCGTTTCGGCCGGGGGCAGGTCGGCGGGCTCGACGCCGCGGTCGAGCCAGCGAGTTGACTGCCGTCGCGACCTACTCGACGACATCGACGGCGACGCGCAGGCCGTCAATCAGGAGACGGGGCGCGACAGCGACGCGCGCTGGAAGGCCTGGCGCGACCGAGCCAGCTCTGGAGGTCCCCGCGGGCTTCACACGATGACGAAGCACAGGGGTGTCCAGCGGCCGACGGCCCTCACGGGCGAGCACGGCGCCACTGCCCATCCACGCCACGTCGCGCGCGAAATAGAGAAGGCCCACGCGAAGGCTCGGCGTGCCTCTCATCGGGCTCAGCGCGCGCAGATACACGATCGAACTTCCCCCCCCCGGCCTTCTCCTGAGCAGATTCGGGAATCGGCCATGTCTTCCTTCTCGACCACTGCGAGCAGCCTCGATGGCATGCACCCCGGGCGTTTCTTCTTCCACAGTGACGGGGCGCCGCAGGAGCTCTGCACGCCGCGGGAGGCGCGCGAGTCACCTGGCCTGCTCCCGCAGCAGCTGCAGTGGATCCCCTCGCCCATGCCCCCGACGCCGCAGGGGGGCCATCGCCTCGCAGTGGTTCCTGCGCTAGTTGCTCTCGTGTCTGGCAGAGAGCGAAGCGAGTGCACCTCGATGGCCTCCAGCGCTTTCTCGACCGCAAGTTCCGGGGAGTGGCAGCTGGAAGGTCTGCGATTGAAAATGTCTGGGCGCTGGCTGCTAGAGCCGAGGCGGGAGCGTCATCCAACATCCGCCCCATCATGTTGGTGGCAGGCTACTCCAAGTACTGCGAGGAGATCGACTTGGGCGCGCTGCAGTACAAGTTCGGTAGCATGCCTGCGCCCGCGGGTTTCGAAACCTTGATGATCAACATGTGGCGCGGGCCGCGGATCGCCCGCTCGCAGGGTCACCGCAGCGCCATGCGCGCCATGCCTGGACGCCTTGCGCGCGGTGTGCCAGCGGGTCACGGAGTAGCCGTTGCGGCCATTCAAGTACACGCCTTGGAAGAATATGGCCGATCGTGCGTCTGCACCCGCTTGCATCATTCCCCATCTATATCGACGGCACGGCCATCGGCAACACCCACTGTGGCTCTAAAATGATCGTCGAGATGGCCGCCACAGCTCGGCGCGGCTTCCAGGAGGGTTCTTCGGAGGCCCGGCCGGCTCGAGGGTCAACGAGAAGTTCGCGACCGTCGCGCCCACTGCTGAAATTGTTCGCGAGGTGAATGCGCCCGAAGGTGCTGCGGCCAAGCGCGTCGCGCCCTACGTTGGAGCTGACTGCTCGGCAGGGGGCGCCCAGCGAGCGCCAGGGGCGCGCGCCAGGCAGCGGGCCCGCATCCCCAAGCACAAGATGCGCATGCGCAAGCTGCAAAAGTACAAGCGACCCATGCCAGCACATAGAGATCTTCGCATTGGTCGCGTTTGTCGCACAGGTGCGGGACAAGCATGCCCCGATGTAGTGGAAGTAAACTGCCACTCCGAGGCCAATGAGCTCGCTGACCTTCGTCGTGCATACGGGCGCCAGGTCAGACTTTATCATGGCGAAATTCCGGCGACGGCGAAGCTAACCCTCGGCGGCGGCCCAGCCATCAGGCAAGCAGCCGCGCCCGCTCTCCAGTGGAGCCGTATGTTGCGGGGCACCGTCGCCCGACCTAAACGCGCGTTCGCATCGAAGGGAGACAGGCTGCGCTGGTGGGGCTTAGCAGTCGCCTACCTGGGCAGACCTTGCACAAGTCTCGTCGCCCCCTGGAGAGGGTGGCGTTGTGTCTGGAGCGCGTTGGCTGGACCATTCGCAGTTGCATCTCACGGCGCGACAACATTGGCCAAAATGTTCGGGTCGATCCATTCACGCATGCGGCGCTGGAGGACTGACTCAATCAAGACAAGAAGCGCATGCTGGAGTGCCAGGCATCAGGTAAATCGGAGTTGCCTGCTGGGACACGAGTGACATTTGATTATATGCAAGGCGTTGTCCAAGAGTGGTCTCAGAAGTATACGGGGTGCCAGAAGCTCCTCTGGCGTACCCGCGCAGGTCAGGATCTGGACCAGAGGCCGCGCCAAGGATAGAGGCTACGACATCGATAGCCTCTGCAGCGGCGGGCAGCTCGACACGGCGCACCACCGCCTCTACACCTGCATAAGGGCACATGTGGTCGCAGCCCGCGCTGAGAGCGAGGTCAACGCGGTATTCGCGCGGGCGGCCATCGACAACGTCGGCGACTTGCGGTACCCCAATGGGGCGTTCGCCTAGGATGAGGAGATGCGGCCGCCGCTGCAATCTGGCGCCGAGGTACACATGCTCGACGGCGATGGCAACGACGCGTGGTGCACGCCTGAGACGACGTGCGACGTCCTCGGCAGCAGCGCCACCGAGCTGGAGTTCGTGCTCGACGGATCGGGCAGCGCGCCGCCCCTCGACGCGCTGCGCCGCTTGGGCTGGGCCGCCGCCCTCCTCGACCCGCAGGGGGGCAAGCCGCTCCGGGCGACGTGCTGGGCGGTGCCTGACTCGCCCCCGCAGCGGCCGGCCATGGCCGAGCACCTGGCGCTAGCCTTCGTCGGCAAGGCAGCGGACCGCCATTGCGACGTCTACGCCGATTACACGGCCGTCGTGCGTGACTCGGCCAAGCGTCCACATGGGCAGCTCCGCCCAAGAGCTCACGATGGTTGCGTGAAGCTGTTTGGTCAGCTGGCGCAAGGCATTTCATCGCGCGTGGACAGCTTCGCGTGTAAATGCCCATCGCGCAGCTGAGCAGCATGCATAATTTATTGGCGAGCGGAGAAGGATCACGGATGCAAGTATTTTTTGCTGATGTTCATGCAAAGCGAGGTGCCCAGCTCCGAACCGCCAGCGCACGAGCTCGGCCAACATATTGCCGACGGCATGTGCATCTATAAATTCGCCAAGCCGGCCGTCGCCATCATGCCGCCCTTCGAGAAGGAAGCCCGTCGGATTTGCCCGACGCCAACTGGCGGAAAAGTGCACGTGCAGCGCGTCGGTTGACATGAGTGGGTTCTGACGGCCACGGGAAAACATTGCGGCAAGTGTATGTGCATAGCGGGTGACACAGATAATAAGTTTCTCACAGGTTGTAAAGGCATGCCCCCGTACCTGGCAGCGTATGTTCGTAACCAACTTGGTCACAGCTTGCTTGCTGTTAATATGAGCGGCAGTTCCCCAGCGAATCCCGGCTGCCTCAACCCTGTGTGTGTGCGCAGCAAGTGTGGCGCTTGGGCCCAGCAGCCCACGTGAAACAACTGAAGACGGTTGCGCGAGCCCCCCACTACGAAAGGGCCCGAAGTCTTGTCCGATGTGCGAAAGGGGTTTGGCCCACACAACAGGCTCGCCAGCCAAGTCGGCGCCGCTCCCCCTGCTCAGTCCAGCGCGCGCCGCGCAGTGAAGCGCTCTATGCTCGAGACCACCCAAGTTTTTGGGTTCCCCAGTCCGAGGGCCCTCCGTCGTATGAAACTGGCTGCCCTCTTCGAGAGAATTCCTCTAAATGAGCAAGTCGTTTCACGTCTGACCAAGTTTGGTCACGCCGCCGTATGTTGTGCAGAGTTGTTCACGCGCCAGGGCCATGAGCTGCTGGCGTGAAGTGGCGTGCGCCGCATCGCCCTCGGAGTTTCAGTACTCAATATTCAGACGGGCGAAAGTAGGGAGATGGGAGGGCGATGAGGAGGAGAGCGGGGGAGAGGGTGGGGAAAGGGGGTGATTAGGATGATGATGATGCTGATGATGATGATGATGATGATGATGATGATGATGATGATGATGATGATGATGATGATGATGGTGGTGCTTATGATGGTGATAATAATGACAATGACGATACTGCTTGTGATGATGGTGATGGTGCTGATGGTGGTAGTGATGGTGATGGTGATGGTGATGGTGGTGGTACTGATGATGATCAAGGATATGGTGGTAGTGATGGTGATGGTGATGGTGATGGTGGTAATGGCAGTGGTGATGTTGATGATGATGATGAACACGATGGCGATGGTGATGGTGATGGTGATGACGATGGTAAATGATGATGATGACGATGATGATGATGATGATGATGATGATGGCGATGACAACGACGACGATGACGATGATGATGTCGCTGATGATGGGGATGGCGAGGTGACGATGATGATATGATGTTATTGATGATGAGGATGATGACGATGATGATGATGATGATGATGATGATGATGATGATGATGATGATGATGATCATTGTTGGGGAGGAGGGAGAGGAGGAGTGATGAGTGAGGCTGAGGACGGGGGGAGGATGAGGAGGAGGATGACGACGAGGTGGAGGGGGAGTGAGATGTGAGGATGAGGGTTAGGGGCGGGAGGAGGAAGAGGAGGGGGAATGACGAGTCCGTCCGCCGTCTGCGGTTCTCTGTAGGAGGCCGGAGGAGGACGGAAGACGGCGGACTGCGACGGACTCTTCAGTCATTGGTTGTGTTCTGGTACTACAGGGACCAGTTGGTAATCCGCTTTACATGGTAGCCCACCACAAATGAACTCGGTTTGCAGTCTGCCACCGAAAAAAACGTTTTGTAATCTGTCACGAAGAGAACCCGGTTGCAACCCGCCTCAAGAGGAATTATTTTGCAATTCCCTGCAAAAGAAATAATTTTTTACCACAGAGGGAATCCTCGTGCAGTCCGCCACAAAAGAGGAATATTGTTGTAACCCGCCACACCAGGGCACCCTTCGGGGAGCCGAGACGGCACGGAGCTCTTTCTAGCTTGGAGGAAAGGGTGCCATTTCTCCTTTCTCCGCTCCCAGAGGCTCAGTTTCTTTTCATGTTTGCTCTGTGCAGGGCCAGTTTTTACATGGTGTGCGTGGTCTCGTTTTGCGTTGGGGGGGGCGGGCGCCGCGGGAACGAAAGGGTAGACAAACAGGAGAAACATCAACCAGATTGGAAAAAGAGCAATTACTTGTCCTGCACAACCTAGGAAGGAGAAGATGGGAAACCTTCAGAGGAGGCGAGAGGAGGTGGAGGAGGAGGAGGAGAACGAGGAGGAAGCGGGGGAGAAGGAAAGAGAGAGAGAGAGGGAGAGGAGGAGAAGGATGAGGAGAAGGAGAGAAGAGAGAGAGAGAGAGATGAGACGATAATACACAACATGTGAAGTGAGACGTATGATCTGGGGAGACGACCGTATCTCTATATCTAGATAGATATGCACATATACATGTGGATGAGTGTACATCATGGAAGTCGTTCCCACCTTCTCTCTCTCTCTCTCTCGCTCGCTCTCGCTCTGCCTCTCTCTCTCTCCTTCTATCTCTCTGTCCAGTTCCACATATGCCGTGTTCATCCCTGCATTTCTCTCTCTCTCTCTCTCTCCCTCTCTGTATATGTAAGTACCAATCCATCTGCGTGGCTGTTGACTATGTCGATGCTTGCTCCCTCGTCTCAGCTAGAGTCCACCGTTGGCCCGTCGTCCCGAGGAGACGTTCCGGCTCAAGAACACCATCAGCGAGACAAACATGGTCTGGGGTTGTGGGGCGTGTTTCCATGCTTGCGGCGGCGAGCACAACGGGGTGGCGCGAAGGGAGGGGGAGGGCCTTCTCAGAAAACGGGGTGGCTTCTCAAAAGGTACGGGCTTTGGAAGGGCCCGACGGCTTCGAAGAAGGCTTCTGAGAATCGATTGTGGTGTATCAGAAGTCCCCTGCCTGCTCAGAAGCCCTCCTGGCTGCTCAGGCAGCGCCCTTCGCGCCGCACCCTTGGCCGCGCCACCCATCTCCTCGTGCTTGTCACTCCCCATAGCCCACTCACATGGCCATTCCCCCTCCCCCCTCCACCTCCGTGTGTCTTCGGAGGAAGAGGAGGAGTAGGAGGAAGAGGAGGAATACGGAGAGGAGGAGCAGGAGGAATAAGGAAATGAAGAGAAAGGATGCTGGTAGAGAAATAGTCAACACTTTGCCCCAGTATGGACTACTTCTTCAGGGCATCCTTGCGTTGTTGGCTGGCTATACGCTTATCTCGCATCGTTGTTGTGCCTCCTCACGCGTGATTATCATTGTAGGCTGTAGGGGCAACATGGAAGGGCAGAGGTAGATGAGGCAGGAAAGGGATGATGGGGGAGAGAGGAGGAGGCAGAACGCTGCATGCTTTAGCATGAAGTCCGAGCAACGTCAAAGTGAGAGGAGGAGAAGGAGAAGAGGGAGGAGGGGTGGACGGGGAAGGGAGAGTTGAAGCGCACAGCTGAGATGGCGAGGAGGGCGCGGGGGGGAGGGAGGGGGGCAGGACAATTGTGTGACGGAAAGCGGAGGAGCACGCCATGATGTTATGTAATTGTTCGAGGCACGTTGGCATGTGGACCCATCTTGAGCCATGCTAGGCAACATCGTAAGCCACTTTGGGCTATCTATCTGGGAGCCTCTTGGAGTCATCTTGGGCCATCGTGGACGCTCCAACGGCTCCCCTCCAAAGTGCAGACCCAGGAGAGTGGGTAGGGGGAGGGGTCTTGCTACCCACAAGCAGCAAGACGTCTCGCTTAGTCCCACCCGCACTCCCAGCACACAAAAGTAGCACCCGAGTCGCAGCACGGACACGGGCCGCCATCGACAACCATCGTGGACCAACGCAGACTCCAGCCAGGTGCGCGAAGCCCGTGATGTGCGCAGCACATGCCAGCTGCGCCACGCGCACCAAGTGCGGCACATCGGGCAATATGTCGACCCTCCCACCGTCCCTGTCAAAAACCGATGCAATCGGCGGGTTTGTTGTGTGTGTGTGGGGGGGTGCACCCACGCTCGGTTTGTTTTTGTTTGGTGGGCATGTGTGCAGCAGGCAGTATGCCGCCACCCCCGCCATCCCTGTCAATAACCACGTCAGTGTGAGCACGAAGCGTCCGCGCATGATCCCGATGTTGGTGCAAGGTGTATTTGGTATATAGTTGTTGCATGGGATGGTTGGGCGGTGCTGGCTTGCGCGCAGCAAGCAATGTGCTGGCACCCCCGCCGTCCTGGTCCAAAACCAATGCAAAGTGGGCGCGTGCCGCCCGCGCACGCTCCAGATGTAGAGGCAAAGTGTATGTTGTGTCGTCTTTCGACAGGGATAATTGGGGGTACGCGTGGGTGTCGCATGGGTCCGGGTTGGTTGCCGTCCGGGTGGGGGAGGGGGTGTTTATGAACAGGAGAGTGATCAAGACATTTCTGCCAGACGCACATTGTGTTGGCTCACTCTTGCCCGCCCTCCCAGAAAATACATCTCTCCCGGGTCTCAGCATGTCGGGTACACGGCCGTGACAAAAGGTTCTTCAATGTGCTGTGGCTTAGATATCTCCCATACATCTGAAAATCCCTAACATCATGATGATGGCGTCATTCGGCGGAGTAGTTTCCGATCGGTTTGATGCTGATAACTCTGTTACTCCAAGACCGTATCGGAAACCACTCCGCGCCACACCTTACCAAGTATCGAACAGAATGCGCCCGCACGCGGAGTAGATGGAGCATCTTTACTCCGAACTACTCCGCCCTGCTGCGCCATTGGCGAAGGCAGATCAAAAGAAATGTCCGCCACGGTGATGCAGGAGCGCCACGCATGCCAAGTGCGCCACGGGCCCCACCCAAGAGGCCCAAGCGTGCCAGGCGCGCCAGGTGCGCCGAGTGCTCGACGTGCGCCGAGTGTGCCACGTGCTCCAGCTGCGCCGGGTGCGCCACCCGCGCGGCGTGCGCAGAGTGTGCCAGGTGGGCCACCGAACTGCGGCCACCGGAACACAAGGGAGCGCATGGTCTTGGCTGCCACCGAGCCGACGTGCCGAGCAATCTGTGAGAAGGCACCGAGGGACACCAAGTGACGTCTTGAGGAACCGTGGGGCACATGAAAGCTCAGAGAAAAAAGCGTCCCCCGAGAATGAGTACAGAGGGAATGTCGTCGGCAGCCGAAGTGATCGCGGGGTGCCCGCGCATGATCCAGATGTCGTCGCAAAGTGCGACAGGCATGGTTGGACTGCGCGCAGCAAGCAGTTTGCCGGCACCCCGCCGTCCTGGTCAAAATCCAACAAAAAGTGGTCGCGGTGCGCCCGCGCATGCACCAGATTTGCAGGCAAAGCTTGTCTTTCCCCAAACAGTGTTTGCTCCTAGGGGTTCTTCTTTTCTCTTTCAAAGAACTTGCCCTTAATGTCGGTCTGGCGGCTCCGTCGCCGCCCTGTTGCCGCCTCGTCGCCGCCCGTCGTCTGGGCCTGATTGTCGGTCTGGCATCTCCGTTCTCTCCGTCGCCGCCCCGTCGCCGCCTCTTCGTCGCCCGTCGTCTGGGCCTGAATGGCGGTCTGGCGGATCCGTGCTCGCCGTCTCCGCCCCGTCGCCGCCTCGTCGTTGCCCGTCGTCTGGGCTTGATTGTTCGTCTGGCGGCTCCGTGCTCGCCGTCTCCGCCCCGCCGCCGTCTCTTCGCCGCCTGTCGTTTGGGCTTGAATGCCGGTCTGGCGGCTGTGTTGTTGCCGTCGCCGCCTAAATTTCAGACCTTTGATTGCACCGCATAGCTTTGCGTGTTAGGAATTACCCCCCCTCCCTGGATCATCGAAACAACGTGGGGACGTGCAACTTACATACGGTTCTGCCTCATTGTTCATTCTACATATGAGTCCATATTATCCCAGCTAGGCTGGGTTCGACACCCCCTTCCATTCTCTTCAACCAATGCTATGAACGCGCACCCGTTCACCCTCACAAACACGGGACGAGGTGCACGCGCGCGTTTTGTCGCGCGTGCATGCCGAAATCTTTCAAAATTGCATGTTCCGTAAAGATTTCAAAATCGAGTGTCCCGACACCACACAAGAAAACACATGGCGTTGCAACATGATGTTTCGAAAAAGGTCTGCGCGCGCTCTTGCAGATCTTTGAAGAACGAGTCCTGCGACCAAACGGGTCTCTCGCGCGCGCATGTCGAAATCGTTCGAACGCCCTTGCGCGCGTGGGGGGAGGGGGGGGGCAAGATCCCTGTTCAATAATGCCATGCTGGCATCTCGCGCCCGTCGGCCGCGTGCTCATATTTAAATGTTTCCAAAACCTTCACTGCCAACACGTGGACACCATGATCGCCTCATCGCCATCGGCTTGATCAGCATCGGCGCCATCATTGGCCTTGCCGTCGTCATCGTCATCGTGGTCACCATCGCTACTGACATTATCGTGTCTGCCGTTATCGACGTCGCCATGATACCGCGCCCGCCCGAATCACCGACTCGCACTGAAGTGCCCGCGCGTTAGCGCGGTCTGCGAGACACGCTGGGAAGTGCCAAGCCGTCAACGCGACCGCGACCGCGCCAGTCGCGCCAGGCTAGCCGGCCGCTCTGCGCGCGAGCTTGCTCGCGCTATCGCGGCCGCAGCGTTGCGCGAGCCACTGCCGCGCAGTCATGGCAATGGCCGCCGCATGGCTTTTGCAAACCAAGTTGCGGGTGGGTGGGTGGGATGATTGCGCGCGCACTGGAGTTGACAACTTCAAGTTCATTCTATTTTCTACAGACTCTACCCCCCCCCTGCTGGACTTATATGAACGATATATACTTATACAGATATATACATATATATACATATATATATGCGTATTCTGCACACTCGTCCATCCTAAATATGAAATCATACCATCCCAGGCAGGCCGGTTTCCCCCCCCCCTGAGGGTCCCTTGTAAAAAACACTATGCGGTGACTTTTTTGTTCTAACATAACACTTGTCACGAATCCCTTGCAACAAATGAGACGAAGTGCACACGCGCGCGTCGTCGCGCGCATGCCGAAATCCTTAAAAAACCGTCGGTGCTGGAAGGATTTTTGCAATCGAGTTTCCAGAAAAACATACAAAAACACATGGTTTTGCAACACTGATTTGCTAAAAAAGCTTCCGCGCGAGCTCTTGCGAAATCTCAAGAAAAACCATTGGTTTTTCAAGATTTTCACAAAATGCTACCAAACGGGTTTCGCGCGCGCGCATTTCGAAATCTGTCGAACGCCCTTGCGCGTGTGCCGTCGCGAGAATCCTTTGCAAAAAACGGGACGAAGTGCAGACGCGCGCGTCGTCGCGGGCGTACGCCGAAAACCTTCAAAACCCTTCGGTTTCAGAAGGATTTCGAAATCGTGCGTCCAAAAAACCTACGAAAACCCAAGGTTTCGCAACACGGATTTTCAACAAAAGCGTGCGCGCGCGCTCTTGCATCGTCGTCGTCGTCGCCGTCTTCCCTCCTCCCGCGTCGTCCTCGTCGTCGCCTACGTCGTCCTCTGTCTTTTCTCGTCTTCGTCATCGTCGTCATCCTCTTTGGCGTCGTGGTCGTTTCCGTCGTCGTTGTCGCCGTGGTCGTCCTTCCTCCTCCTCCCACGTCGTCGTCGTCGTCCGTCGTCGGCGTCTCGTCGTCGCCCTTCCTATTTCGTCGCCGTCGTCGTCGTCGTTGTCGTCGTCGTCTTCCCTCCTCCCTCGTCGTTGTCGTCGTCGGCGTCGCCGTCCTTCCTCCTTCGTCGTCGTTCGCGTCGTCGCCGTCCTCCCTCCTCCCTCGTCGTTGTCGTCGTTGTCGCCGTCGTCGTCCTTCCTCCTCCCTCATCGTCGCCTTCGTTGGCGTCGTCGTCGTCGTCTTCGTCGTCGTCGGCGTCGTTGTCGTCGTCGAAGTCGTCGGAGACGTCGTCGGTGTCGTCCTAGTCGTTGTCGTCGGTGTCGTCGTAGTCGGTCTTAAGAGGTTTTGCAAACCAAGTTGCGGGTGGGTGGGTGGGATGTTTGCACGAGCAGTAGATAGGACAGCTTCAAGACGGTCAAAGTGGATTGCACCACATAGATTGCATCATATAGATTCTCCTTTCTAAAAAGAGAATAGACTCCACCCCCCCGGACTTAACGCTTCCCCTCGGGATACTATAATGTCATCTATATATATGTGTATATATATATACATTATATATCTACATGTTTATATATATTCTGCACACTCGTCCATCCTAAATATGAAATCATACCATCCCAGGCAGGCCGGTTTCCCCCCCCTGAGGGCCCCTTGTAAAAAAAAAAAAAAAAAAAAAAAAAAAAAAAAAAAAAATAAATGCGGTGACATTTTTTGTTCTAACATAACACTTTTCACGAATCCCTTGCAAGAAATGAGACGAAGTGCACACGCGCACATCGTCGCGCGCGCAGGCCGGAATCCTTCAAAAACCTTCGATGCCGGAAGAATTTCGCAACCGAGTTTCCAGAAAAACATACAAAAACACATGGTTTCGCAACACTGATTTGCTAAAAAAGCTTCCGCGCGAGCTCTTGCGAAATCTTAAGAAAGCCATAGGTTTTCCAAGATTCTCACAAAATTCTACCAAACGGGCTTCGCGCGCGCGCATTTCGAAATCTGTCGAACGCCCTTGCGCGTGTGCCGTCGCGAGAATCCTCTGCAAAAAACGGGACGAAGTGCAGACGCGCGCGTGGTCGCGCGCGTACGCCGAAATCCTCCAAAACCCATGGGTTTCGGAAGGATTTCGAAATCGCGCGTCCAAAAAACCTACGAAAACCCGAGGTTTCGCAACACGGATTTTCAACAAAAGCGTGCGCGCGCGCGCTCTTGCGTTGTCGTCGTCGTCGTCGCCGTCCTCCCTCCTCCCGCGTCGTTGTCGTCGTCGTCGTCGTCGCCTACGTCGTCCTCTGTCTTTCCTCGTGTTCGTCGTCGTCGTCCTCTTTGGCGTCGTGGTCGTTTCCGTCGTCGTTGTCGCCGTGGTCGTCCTTCCTCCTCCTCCCTCGTCGTCGTCGTCGTCCGTCGTCGGCGTATCGTCGTCGTCCCTCCTATTTCGTCGCCGTCGTCGTCGTCGTCGTTGTCGTCGTCGTCGTCTTCCCTCCTCCCTCGTCGTTGCCGTCGTCGGCGTCGCCGTCCTTCCTCCTTCTTCGTCGTTCGCGTCGTTGCCGTCCTCCCTCCTCCCTCGTCGTTGTCGTCGTTGTCGCCGTTGTCGCCGTCGTCGTCCTTCCTCCTCCCTCGTCGTCGTCTTCGTTGGCGACGTCGTCCTCGTCTTCGTCGTCGTCGTCGGCGTCGGCGTCGTCGTCGTCTTCGTCGTCGTTGTCGGCGTCGTCGTCGTCGCCGCCGTCGTCGTCGTCGTCGTCGGCGTCGTTGACGTCGTCGTCGTCGTCGGCGTCGTCGTTGTCGTCGTCGTCGGCGTCGTCATCGTCGTCGTCGTTGTCATTGTCGTCGTCGTCGGTGTCGTCGTAGTCGTCGTCGGTGTCGTCGTCGTCGTCGTTGTCGGCGACGTCGAAGTCGTTGGAGACGTCGTCGGTGTCGTCGTAGTCGTTGTCGGCGGCGTCGTCGTCGTCGTTGTCGCTGTCGTCGTCGGCGTTGCCGTCGTTGGCAAGTGCCATTTGGTACCCACCGTCACGGTCTTAAGAGATTTTGCGAACCAAGTTGCGGGTGGGTGGGTGGGATGTTTGCGCGAGCAGTGGAGTGGTCAAGCGCGGTGCAGGGTAGTCAGTTGCACCACATCGATAGTACGCATGTGTCGGCCTGCGCGCAGCAAGCAGTTTGCTGGCACCCCCGCCGTCCCTGAAAATTCAATGCAAAGTGGTCGCGGGGCGTCCGTGCATGCTCCGGATTTGGAGGCAATGTGTATATGTGTATTGTTTTTGATAAGGATGGCGGGGGGGGGAGCATTGGTCCAGGTTGGCTGTCCGTCGGGTAGAGGAGGGGGGGGTCATCAACAATGTGTAGTGATATCCTTTTTCCGCAGTTGAATAATGACGTTGGCAGGAGAACCCCCCTACCACTCACGACAAGGGAGCTGGCGGCTAGTGGGATTACGCAACCGTCGCAGTGAACGACACCAACACCTTGAGCGGCATTCCGCGTTGTTGCGATCTTGCTAGTCCAGGACGATTTGCGACAAGTTCCCACATCTGGTTGCTCGGGAGTTGGAGGGACCGGTGTGTCAGCGTGTGTAACCAGTGTGTGCGCGAAGCATGTATCTCTCTCTCTCTCTGTGTCTTTGTCTCTCTCTCTCTCTCTCTCTCTCCCTCTCTCTCTATATGTATAGTTTTATTGCCCAGGCAGTGTTTGCACTTAAGAAGTTCTTGCTTCTCCTCCAAGGAACTAGGCCTTCCCGTCGGTCTGGTCGCCGTCGCCGCCCCGTCACACTGGCCTTGCCCTTCGGTTTGAAGGCTATGCGGTCGCCGTCGCCGCCCCGTCGCCGTCCGGGCCTGCGTGACCTTGCATTCTATCGATTTGCATTGCTGCTTTCGTTGCCCAGCATTGCGCTTCTTTACATTGACTTGCATTTAGTTGGCTTGGTTTGCATTGCTTCGCGATGCATTGTGTTGTATTGAAGGCAAGTGTTTGCACTGCGTATCATTGTTTGCATTGGTTCGCACTGGTTTGCATTCCTTTGTATAACTTGGCAGTGATTGGGATTGGTTTGGCTTGTTCTGCAGTGCTTTGCGTCCCATCGCAGTGTTTCGCCTTGCGTTGCCTTGTGTTCCATTGCTGCGTATTGCTTTGCATTGCTTTGAGTTGTTTTGTTCTGCAATGCTTTACTTTGCATTGCGTTGCATTGGTTTGCTTTCCAATGTTTTGCGTTACTGTGCATTGATTTGCGTTGCTTTGCGTTGCTTTGAATTGCGTTGATTTGGTTTGCATTTTTCTGATTGGCGTTGGCTTGCACTGCTTTGGATTGCTTCACGTTGCTTTTCGCTGAATTGCGCCACGTGGATTGCACTACATGGATTGCACCCCCTAGGTTACACCACATGGATTGCACCACCTAGATTGCACCGCATACATTGCAAGAGTTCACTATGTGGGCCCACGCTGTTTAACATACCTGTGTGTATATACATATACTATACATATATACATACACATGTACATAAACATATACACATACAAAAGAGTAAATACAACACATAAACAAATACCGCCACCCACCCCCAGGGCCCGCGCACCTCGCAACCATCTGGGGCAAATCCCCAGTACCACCCTGCCAGGCGTCCAAGAGAGCACCCGGAGGGCCTCAAGACGGCCCAGGACGTCCCCGAGACAGTTCAAGAGTGTTCCAAGGCTGTCCAAGCCGACGGCTCTGAAGGCCCCCAACAGCACCCAAGATTGCCCCAAGAGGCCTCCAAGAGGCCCCTAAGAGCTCCGAGGAAGCCCTTCCGTAGCCACTCTGGGTCGAGCCATTTTGGCTCAAGATTCCAGTCTCTGTTAGAGGGGCTTTGCTGCACACCGAAATTGTGACGCCGACAAGGACGTCTTCACTTTACTGATACAACGCGATGAGTTTGCTTCGCGTGTGCATTATCTCTTTCCTGACGGTGACGACCCAGCTGAGTGTGCGCTTGGACGAAGACGATGCGGGTGCAGATGACAAGTTGGATCCTCTTGTGTACGAGTTCGGAGGTTTCTTCGAATTCGTCGGGCAGGTGACCGACTCGTCCGCACCTCGCGAGCAGGAGGAGCAGCAGCAGCTCGTCGGGCACGACCGCAAGGGCGCCGAAGCTTGGCCAGTGGGGTCGTGGCACGCGCCACTTCGGTCGAACGAATCCTACCCAGGGAAGGCGAACTGGCCGCTGTTCGACACGCCGCAGTGTTCCGCCGACGACATGACGGTCATCAACTATTGGGCCCTGAAGCAGGCGAAGAAGACACTTCCGCATGCCGCCCGCGCTGGGGACTTCAAGACAGGGTCTTGCTACAAGTCGTTTACGACCGACTGGTGGTTCGGGATCTCGCAGTGGGTGTCGTGCTACCAGGAGTTCTACAACGTCTCCACACCGTGCGCCACTTGCATAGGCAGTGTCTACAACATGGCCAAGTACAACATGTCCGAGAACTGCTACAACTTGTGCAAAGGCCGCCCGTCAAGGAGGGACGGCTCCCACTGGTGCTGGGAGGACTGTCAGCAGTGCATGTGGTACGTCGGGCGGAAGCTGTCGGACTGCTACGGGGAGCCCTACGATATGACGTGCCGCTATGGCAAGGAGCTTGGCAAGGAGGGGTATTTCGAGAAGAACGGCATCGACCCCAAGCGATGAGAAGAGCGTGTCGGCCGCTTGGGGCCAGCATGGTCGCGTTGTCCAGCTTTTTCCCCCTTGCTGCAGTTGGTGGTAAGGGAACTTTTGCGCATAGGCAATCAGTTCTGCTGACGCTGACGTGCACCGGCCAGGAAAATTACTCCCAGACGCCCGCGGTCGTCTCCAGACGGCGTCCTCGAAGGCTTCCAGGCAGCTACACACGCCCCCCAGACGCTCCAGGAGGATTCCCAGACGGCCCCCACGAGGGCCCCAAGAGACGAACATATCCGTTGTTCCTTTAGGTGACAGTTTTCGGGGGTTCTGCTTTTTCGGCTTGCCGACGCTCCAGCCCAGCCCAAGACGGTCCCCGAGCCCAGTCCAGCCGTCGCCGCGGGCACTTGCCCCGCTCGGGTCTAGGAGCGGGTTGGGCGGAGGCGGCGTTGGCAGGGGGCGCTTCCGCTCGGGCGGGTTTTCGGGTGTTCTGCTTTTTCGGCTTGCCGAAGCACCACCATCCGCTCCAAGACGGTTTCAGGGGCTCCGCACAGGGGCGCCCAGCGCACCCAAGAGGCCCCAAAGCCGCCCCAAGACATCTCCAGGACAGCCCAGCAAGGCACCGAGTCGCGCCCGACTCGCCGGAAAATCACTCCCAGGCAGTCGCCACAAAATCATGCGCAGACGCACGTGGTCGCGTGCAGATGGCCCACCACGCTCCCAAGGCGCTTCACGAGGACGGGCAAGATGAAGAGAAGGAGAGGTAGGGAGAAGGAGGAGGCAGGAGGAGGAGGAGGAGGAGGCAAGAGGAGGCGGAGGAGGAACAGAGAGTAGGAGGGAGGAAAAGGGAGGAGGCTTCCACCAGGGCCACACAAGGCCACCCTAGGTCCCACATGAGGCTTTCACGGCGCCTCCATGGGGCCGTCGAGAGACCCCCACGAGACGTCCAAGATGCCGGATCAGGGGCACAGGGGGGGCAGGGGAGGAGGAAGCGAGTGACGAGGAGGACAGCGGGAGCACGGGAGGAGGGGGGCACAGAGGGAATAGGGGAGGAGGAGGTGGAGAAGGAGGAGGAGAACCACGAATGAGCAAACAGGGAGCAGGAAAGACGGGAAATGGAGAACCACGGAGGGAGTAGAGAAGGAAGGGGGGGAGGAGGAGGAGGAGGAGGAGGAGGAGGAGGAGGAGGAGGAGGAGGAGGAGGACGACGACGACGACGACGACGACGACAGCGGCAACGGCGAGGACCGAGTGGGACGAGGGCAGGAGAGGGCCGAGGCAGACTGATTGCCCGCAAAACCCACATGCGGGGAGACTCGCAGTGCCGCCCATGACGGCAGCGGAAACGAAAGCCATGGCCTAGCTGCCACTGGAAACTAAGCGCGCGTAGTGCGCGCGCGGTTCCAGTGTGTATATATCAGACTGAGGGGACCGAACGGTCATTCATTATCCCTCGGTGCGTGGCTGAATAAGAAACTCGTGGTGAGAATTATGTTTGTTGCGTTGTTGTTGTTGTTGTTGTTGAACTCTCATTCCTGAAGAAAAGTATTGTTGATCCCCCCCGTCCGGTGCACATTGTTTTTTCGATTGAAGTGCCTTTCCCGGGGCTCGCACCCTGTCTTTTATCAGGGTAAGTCTTGAGGGTCAAACTGTGTCGTTGGCCCCCGGTTTACAACAACAAAAACAACAACAACAACAACAACAACAACGGCTCCCGCCTGAGACTTCCTCACACTTTAGCCAGGACCCCGCTCCCGCCCGAGACTTCCTCGCGTTTTATTCAGGAATCGCGCTCTCGCTTGGGACTTCCTTCGAATTTATTATCCGGGCGCTCTGGAGTCGCGCTCTCGTTGGAGACTTGCTTGCAACTTATTGAAGAATAGCGACCTTGCGTTGGAACTTTTTGTAATTTGCTGAAGCGCCGCGCTCCCGACACCAAGGCACCCAGGAGTCGCGCTCACGCTATGGACTCCTCCACAGATTACATAGGAATCGGGATCTCGCTGCCCTTCGTGGCCCCGTTGCAGCCCTTCGTGCCCCCCCAGCTTTGTTTCGTGGCCTCGTTGCAGCCCTTCGTGGCCCTCTCGCTGCCCTTTGTGGCCCCGTTGCAGCCCCTCGTGGCCTCCTCGATGCCCTTCGTGGCCCCGTTGCAATCCTTCGTGGCCCCCTCGCTTTGTTTCGTGGCCCCGTTGCAGCCCTTCGTGGCCCCCTCGCTGCCCGTCGTGGCCCCGTTGCAGCCCTTCGTGGTCCCGTTGCAGCCCTTCGTGGCCCCCTCGCTGCCCTTCGTGGCCCCGTTGCTACCCTCAGTAGCCCCCTCGCTGCCCTTCATGGCCCCATATATGTATGCCCTTCGTGGCCCCCGCTCGTTCGCGCCCGTGGTGGCCCCATATGCATCTGTCCTACGTGGCCCAGTTGCTACCCTCAGTGGCCCCATCGTTGCCTTCTGTGGCCCCGCATTATCTGCCCTTCGTGGCCCCCGCTCGTTCGCGCCCGTGGTGGCCCCATACGCATTCCCTTCGTGTCCCCGCTGTTGCCCTTCGTGGCCTCCTTCGTGTCCTTGTGGCCCTGCTGTCGTTCTCTTTCTCTCTCGCTTTCGCTCGTCGTCGCCGTCGTCATCGTCGCCGTCGTCGTCGACGTCGTCGTCGTGGTCGGTCCCCTGTCCGTCCCTCGTGGGGTCGGGTCGACGGTCCGCGGCCGCCCCGCCGATCAGCGCTGCCGCTTGCCAGGCCGACGGTCCGCGGCCGCCCCGCCGTTTGCCGGGGCCCGGCCTGCAGGGAAGAAAGATATACCTCCCAAAAGGGGTTCGATCGAAGACGAAGAGGGCAGGTATCGAGGGTTTGGGAAATAGGCGTTATTGGACACTCGAGTCGCCGCCGATAACCGCCGCCCCGACAAAACCAGCGCTCCCACCCGAGACTGCCTGCCGTTTTACGCTGGACTGGCGCCCAACTCTCTTTTGAATTGGCGCCGCTCCCAGCAAGAACAACGCTCCCGCTCGAGGCTCCTCCCTTTTTCCTGAAGACGCTGCTGTTCCTCGCCGCCGACAACCCCCGTCCCGACAAAACCATGGCTCCCGCTCGATGCCTCCTCCCTTCTTGCTCAAGGCGGTGTTCCTCCTCGCCGCCGAAAGCCGCCATCCCAACAAAACCAGCGTTCCCGCTCGAGACACTTCATTTTGACTTACGCTGTACTACCGCCCTACTCTCTTCAGCATTGGTGCCGGTCCAAACAACAACAGCTGCCCTGCTCGAGACTTCCTCCCTTTCTATTCAGGGCCAGGTCCTTGCCTCACCGCCGACAGCCCCCATCCCCACCAATGCAACCCTGTCATTCGATGCTTCATTGTGCTTTACCCTTCGCTGGGGTTCCACTGGCGGTTTCGCATCGGCGCAGCAAGGCGCGGGCATATGTATTCGAGGCGGTATAGGTCGAAATTCCTTTTAGGAGGTGCTTGCAAGGCCTCATTGGGCGGGAGATCTGGGAATGGGAATATCGGACCCCGCTATAGAACAAGAGTCCCCCATTACGTGGATGGTTATCATGATGGTCACATGTTTCGTGTGGAAACATCGCGCATGAGGGTAACATGATTGTTGTTGTTGATTATTATTGTCGTCGTCCCACCCGCGACCTTCCCGCGACCCACCCCGCGACCCACCCCGCGACTCACCCCGCGACCCACCCCGCCACCCACCCGCGACCCAACCCGCGACCCCCCCGCGACCTACCCCGCGACCCACCCGCGACCCACCCCGCGACCCACCCGCGACCCACCCGCGACCCACCCCGCGACCCACCCCCAAGGGAGGAGAAACCACCTGGACCCGACAATTGACATTTACTAAACGGCTTTGGGCGTTTACTAAACAGCCCTGCCCTGTTCGATTCATTCCTTGTGTGCGTTTACTAAACAGCTTCGCTTGTGGGGCTGATTGTTATAGGGTGGATGTTCTGCCTTCTACACCCGCGACCCACCCGCGACCCAATAACGACCCACCCGCGACCCGTTTGCGACCCACCCACGACTTACCCACATTGGTTTAACGAAAAATCGGCGCTTGCGGCGGGCTCATTGTAATGTATGAAAGTTTGGCGCCTGCGGCGGGCTTCTCCAGAGTCTCGCAAACTGCCGACGTCCCCACCGCCCCCTCACTCGTATCCGCACCTGCGGGTTGCCACGAATGTATATATATATATATATATATATATATATATATATATATATATACACACACACACACATAGCACCCCGCAATTGCGGATAAGAGTGAGGGGGCGGGCGCGGGCGACGCGGGCGTCGTCAAGCCGGCGGACCTCGTGGCCCCCACCTTCCCTGTCGATGGCGCTCTCCTTCTCCCCTTCCTCCTCCTCCTCCTCCTCCTCTCCTCCTCCTCCTCCTCTCTCTCCTCCTCCCTCCTCCTCCTCCTCCTCTCCTCCTCCTCCTCCTTCCTCCTCTTCTCGTCTCGTCCTCGTCCTCATCGTCATCGTCGTCCTCCTCCTCCACCTCGTCCTCCTCCTCTTCTTCCTCGTCCTCCCTCTCCCCCCCTCGTCCTTCCATCATCGTCCTCCCATTGTCGTCATGTTCCTCCTCGTCGTCCTCCTCCTCTTCCCCCCCTCCCGATCCTCCCCCCTCCTCCTTTTTGTCGTCGTCGTCGACGTCGTCGTCGTCGTCGTCCCCTTCCTCCCCCTCCTCCTCCTCCTCCTCCTCCTCCTCCTCCTCCTCCTCCTCCTCCTCCTCCTCAAAAAGCAGCCCGCCGCAGGCGCCGAAAAATTTGGTTTGTACACTGAACGTGGTTTGGGTCGCTGGTGGGCCGCGGGTTCTCCACCAGGAACGAATGCAAAAGATGCCCGCCGCAGGCGCCGAAAAATTTGGTTTGTACCCTGAACGTGGTCGCGGGTGGGCTGCGGTCTCTCCACCTAGAACGAATGCAAAAGATGCCCGCCGCAGGCGCCGAAAAATGTGGTTTGTACCCTGAACGTGGTTTGGGTCGCGGGGTGGTCGCGGGGTGGTCGCGGGGTGGGTCGCGGGCTCTCCACCTGAAAGGAATGCAAAAAAAACCCGCCGCAGGCGCCGAAAATGTTGGTTTGTACCTTGAACGTGGTTTGGGTCGCGGGTGGGTCGCGGGTGGGTCGCGGGGTGGGTCGCGGGTGGGTCGCGGGTGGGTCGCG